ACGGCGCGAAGTTTCTGCGATGGTCAGGAAATCGAGGGCATGAATGAGCTGCAGCTCGACAGGGCGCTGCAGACGGTGCAGGGGCTGAAGAATGCCTCGCAGAAGAACCAGAGGTCGCACATGAATGGAGCCTTTGGGAAGCTGTGTGAAGAGCTGTGAAGGGCTGTGAAGAGCTGTGAGGCAGATCAAGGCTCGCTTGGAGCACAAGGACAACTGCAGCCCTGAAGAGAGAACGCGCCTACAGGACGTCAGTCATGAAGCACTTCTGGGATTGATCGTCAGGGAGCGTCAGGTACGTAGCAAGATAGCCTGAAGATAGTAAGCACATGTCGGCGTGGTTCGGTGTGTTACCTTGACGTCTCAGAATCTCCAGAGGCTTCGAAGCTTCCATAGCTGGATATGGGAGCTCCACATGGCTTCGCTAAGATGGCATGGCTAGTTGGCAGCCGGTGTCCTGTAGTGCGGTGGCCTTCTGAACATGCTTCAAGATTCCTTGTTGCGTGTTCAGGACATGCGGTTGGATTTGCAAGAAAAGGAAGCTGCATTCCTGGAACTCATTGCTGACCTACAGCAGAAGAAGGGCGCTGAACAGAAGGCGGAAGTCACACGCACACACACACACACACGCATACAACAAGACTTTGGAATCTTCATGTTGATGATCCCCTGGTTCCAACCATGGGTTCTTGCAGGTTAAAATTGAAGCGCACTAGGTCACTAGGTCCTGACGCCCCCTTAGTTTTCTACGATCTCCATGATTCACGCCGGCTTTTTAAGTGCCAAGGCCACTTTCGAGCTGACAGCGACAGAACCCGAGATCGAACAAAGCAACGTGTGTTCCAGAACTTGCTGGCCAGGCGCTCCCAAACAGTTCCGAACAGGTCGTGTCCTCAGATGTGGCCACGAAAGGCCAACAGAAAACCCCTCAGAGCCCTGAGTCGCCCTGAGCCGCCCTGAGCCGCCCTGAGCCGCCCTCCAGGAAGTCTGCCACGTTGAAACTCTGCTGAAGCAAATGGAGAAGGCCTTGGTGTCTCCATGCCCAGCCTGTCCGTGTCTTCTTACCTTTGCAGGAGCTGGCCTTGCAAAAAGATGTCTGAAGCGCACAGCCGTGCGCCTTGCGCTGGAGAGATGCGCCTCTTGTGCCTCCACTGGTACGGCCTTGTGTGCCAAGCCTGAATGAATTGAATGGGTGGATGTGGTCCTGGCGTGAAGTCTTCCAGAAAAAAGTTGCAGCTGGTGTGCTTTTGCTTCAAGTTTGCTGACCTATCGTCTTGCTATGCTGTCCGGCATGTGCCTGCACGCGAACTGCGGCTGCAGCTTCGGCCAGCATCGTGCTTAAAGGGCTTGTGTGCTTTGTACAGAGACAGTGCAGATGAGGCCAACAAGTGTGCCTGCAAAGTCAGCAGTGTAACGAAAAGCAAGCCAGTCATTACAGGGGCTCGCAGCAAGGGCTTTCATGTCACCTTGCCTGCTGGAAGTTGATGCCGCTGTGTACAAGGCGCGTTGAGAAGGCATCCAAACGCCTTTTTGTCGGCTTGTCTGGGGGCTGATGGACTGAGGTTCATGGCGCTAGTGCTGAGGATCTTGTTGACCGACTCTGGCAAGGTCCTGCTTATGACACCGCCCTAGTTGAGAATGTTGCAAGGCGAGCTCCACGTCCGCGTGTTCCATGTCCTTTCAAAGCTATCTGATTTGGCTGGTGCACTGTACCAGTCACTTCGATTGTTGAGGCCACCAAGTCACCCCTGACGCTAGTTCACAGCCCTGCACTCAGCCGACGGATCCACGGCACTCAGTGAGAAGGAGGGTCAGGGAGAACGTGTTGGGACCCTTCGGAAAGTTGAGAGATCAGGCGCATCCGCCTGCAGCGCAGGCAGTTCTGGATGCCAGGGGTGCGCACGTCTCACTGCCCCTCTCTGACACGCAAGCCGCTAGCCGATTGTGGGGATGCTTCCTAGGACAGGTCTACAAGTGGTTTACATCTTCGCCCTCCATGCTTTCTTGACGGTAGCTTGCAGTGCTGGGTTCGGCTCAAGAGCACAAGTGACAAACAGCGCATCTCCTCATTCCCTCTTTTGACGCGATGTCTGAGGCCGATTACTATCAGCTCATTGGTGTTGGCCGGGATGCCACTCTACATGAGATCAGGTCGAAGTTTCGTGCAAAGGTCCTTGCCGAACACCCAGACAAAGGTGGAGACCCGAAGAAGTTTCAGCTCCTCAACAAGGCATACAATGTCTTGACGGACCAGGAGAAGCGACGCCGGTATGATGCCACCGGCCGCGCAGAGAAGTCTGCCGAGGAGGAGTTTGTCGAGGGCTTTGCGGGCGGCAGACATCACTTCGAACCCCGCAGCAAGGAGGCCGATGAGAAGGCCATCGTGAGTTTGAAGGACAGAATCATCACGGGAAACCAGACACACGAGGAGGGCTTCGCCGAGTGGCTCCGGCAAAGGGATCAGCAGGCGATGGTCCTGACAGACAAAGACTTCATGAAGACGCACCTCTTCAATGCTTCCGAGCTTGCGACGAAGATCAACCACCCTGGGCCCGTGCAGCATGTCCTGGGTTCCCCCAAGACCGATGCTTACGGCCAGTTCATGGGCGGTGCCGTGCAGGTGCAAGTGAAGCCGAGGCCTCTGAAAAAGACCATCGACCATGATGAGGTGCTGGTCCGAATGCTTGCCGTGCCAGTGGACGACTCGATGGTTTATGCGGACCTGAAGAAGACTGGCGTTTGCCTGGGAATGACCGGAGTGGGGAGAGTTGAGCAGGCAGGAACACGGGTGGAGGATCTGAAGCCAGAGGATGCAGTTCTGGTTCTTCCAAAGCCAACGAAGTTCTCCTCTGCACATCCGATTGGAACGGGGCGAACTCTGCTTACGTGCAGTGAGGATGACTTGCTGCGTATTCCCTCGGAAATTCTTGAGCAGCTGACGCCTGAGCAGATCTGCCTTACTCCAACGATTGTCTGCGCATACACAGTGCTTGAGCAGTTCGGCTCCAAGCTGAAGCCGGGAGACTCGGTATTGATCAACGCTGCTCACCTCTCTGCATCTGGGTCGGCTTTGCTGCAGCTCTGTAAGCTGCTGAAGCTCAAGCCACTCTGCATGCTGCCTCTTCCCGGTTCCCCGAAGAATCTCGCGAAGGGTGAGTACGGATCCAAAGCAGCCTGGGCAGAGGTTGACAACAGAGCGTCTGCAACCCCAACAGTGCGTGCCCAGTATGAGCGCATCAGCGAGCAACTGGTCACCATGGGGGCTGAGGAGGTCTTCCCCGACGCCGTGGCGCTGCTGCGCTGGAGGGACCGAAATCAGCGCATGCTGCCGAAGCTTGCTTTGGATGGCATCGCTACGCGAGACTCCTGCGAGCAGCTGATCCACTGCCTGCAATCCGGTGACAAGGATGCCCAGATTGTTGTGTATGGCCACGGGATTGCTCAACCACTGGAAATTTCACCGCCTTTGCTTGCCGCATGGGGTGGTCGCATTGTTGGCTTCAACATTTCTCGCTGGGTGCATTCCCTGTCTGCCAATGCCAAGAAGATGATGGCAGTCATGGAAAACGCACCACGGCAGCACGGGCAGTCTGAGGTTTTTTGATTCTTCTTTATGATAGAATGGATCTGAAGGTCACAAAGCTTGTTCGGGCCAACAAGTTCGTCCTGGACACCGTCGTGTACAAAGTCGGTGAGGATGCATGCAGCGAGGCTTTCTCGCGGGCAGCTGATGCGAGCGACAACACCCAGGTGCCACCCAACCATGCTTGAAGGCTTTGAAGGCTTTAAGTGCTGCTTGCTGCGCTCCTCACGAAGTCTTTTTCTTTTTGCCATCTGCGACCCTTTTTTCGAACGTCTGGCTGGAGGTGGTGCTGGTCTTCCCCACCCTGCAGGAGGAGATGACCCTGTCCGCTCAAGAGCAGAGGGCGGAAAAGGAGAAGCAAGCTAAGGCCAAGGCCAGGAAAAGTGGGATGCCTCAGTATCACGGAATGCTGGCAGCGTGCTCTTTCTCCACAAACAGGAAGAGGAAGCTGCAAAGAAGAAGGAGGAGGAGGAGCGCGACAGGCTGAAAGCCGACTGGCTCAATCTCCTCTTCACAGACCAGAGTGTTGCGGCCATGAGCCCAGAGGCGCCCCACGATTCTCCCACATTCTCTCTTCCCCAGTAAGTAGTCGCTTTTTTGCTTTAAGCACTTTTTTTCGTAGCGTTCGTGGTTCGTCTTCTGTTTTCCTTCCCCCCCCTTTTGCTTGCTTTGCTTTGGCCTTTTTTTGTTGGCCGCTGCTTCGTTTGCGCGAATTGCACCCTGCTTCTGCGACAGGGTCCTCTGCCAACAGCGCACGAGGGTGCGGAGCTTAGAAAACATGGAGTGCTGTGGATTCCTGCTCCGCTCGTTACCTTGTCTCCCTGCAGGTGGCAACCTCGACAGTCCGAATGCACTGGTGATCTGGATTGGGGATGACCCCGCGAACGAAGCAGCTGCTGTAAGGGACTGCAGCGTAGTCTCGTGAATGCCCTGTGAGTGTCCTGTGACCGTGTGACCTTCTTGCTATGACGAAATGCCTATTTTCTCAGCCATGCTTGCAAACAGGATGTCGCCTCACAAGTTGGCAGCGCTGCCTTCGTTTCTCTCGCCTGGGCACAGCATCCGGCCGCGGAGGCCTGTTCTGTGGGTTGTGGAAGCTTGCGGGAAGATCCGCTAAATTCCCGCACCAGCCAAGGCCTACGCTGAGTTCTCCCTGAAGCAGCCGGAAGTGGTGGATGGCTCCTTCTTCCTTCGGGACCGTCAGGCATTCGAGAACCAGGCGCACTTCAAAGCAAGAAGGGCAGAAGGCTTGATGAGTGCTTTGAGGCATTGAGGCATCCTCGAGCTTGTTTTTCCTCTGGCCTTGTGTCTTTGCCAGGATTTGGACCTTCTGCATGACGTGGAGCTCTTGGGGCGCTCCCTTGCAGAGTCGATCGAAACCAAGCTGGGCGAGTTTGGCTTGGGTTGGGACAAGGCGAGGCAGGAAGACCAGCGGCTTGCGGCAGGTTGTGGAAGGTTTTCGAAGGTTGCGGAACGTTCTTCTCAGTTCAAGGCCTTTGACTTTGTCTTGAGGTGGTGATCATGGGCTTCGGCAAGGGAGCCGGCATCGCGCTGTATGCATCCCTCCTGAATGTCTTCCCGCAGCAGGCGCGGTTTCGCCGAGCATTGGAACTGGACCAACTGTACAGCACGTAGATCATTCAAGTGTCAAGCAACTGCCGAGGTGACCGCATGTGTCCTCTTCAGCCCAAACCTCAGAGAAGCTTTCAGAATGCCTTGTGTTCAAGAGCCCTGTCGTACAGCATCGCGGTTGCATGGAAGGTCCTATTGTTCTCTTCCCCTCATTCTTGGCTGAGAAGATGCAGGTGGCATGCAGATCGAATGTTGCGCCACACAGGGCTAGGACAAGAACGCAAGTGCCTCAAAAGACAGTATTCATACTATACTGTCACAGTTATCCCGAGACTTTGAACTCTCCTCTCCGAAACCCCAAGTGCAAAAGTACCCAATCTTTTTGCCCTGTTTCCCACAGGCCTTGCGACAGACAACAACCGGCAAAATGAAGGCGTTCGCTGTGTGGGGCAATCGCAACAGGTGGGGCAACCTGGAGACTTCACTGTCTGTCACAAAGTTTGGAGTGGGGCCGTGGGGTTTTGATGGTTTTTGATGGTGTTTCAGGGTAGAGGGATGTGGAGGGTTTGGAGTGTCAGCGAGTCAGCGCCACTCTGAGGTCCACGCCTGGCACATACCGCCAGCTGCTGGCACAGACGATGCGCAAGGCGAAGGACGTTCATTTCACGCCGGGGGCCCTTGAGGGCCCTCGAGGCTGCCCGGGCAGCGCCAATGCCTGGCGAATTCGTGCCGAGTCATGGCGAGTGAGCCATACGCGTGTTAGGAAATGTGATAAGGCCCACGAACTAAGGCCAGATACCTTGCCGGACGGCGACCACTCCTTCGACCTCAAGAGTGGCTTGCTTCATCCGGGCTGCTCTCGTAGGTTGCTCGGAGTCTTCGACTTCTTTGATTCCTCTTTTCCCTTCGAGGTGCGAACGTGCTTGGGTCCATTCTGCCCCTGTGCCTGCCTCGCTGAGATGCAAAGGCCTCAGATTGGTCCTCGCGCGCGCACTTGAGCGCTCACTGGATTTGCATTGCAGTGAAGTTTGCGGCCAGTGTCCTGCCGTGCCTTTGTGTTGCCAGACTCAGGCGGTTATTGTGATGCGACAGTTTTGGCCATCTGAAGACAGTCGTCCGTAAGCTGTGAAGCACCAAGTTTTGACATTTGCAATCTTCCGGAGTTGTTCTAGAAGGCCTGCAACGCAACATTGTTCACTCAATCGGCGGGTTCACTCAATCAGCGGTAAACGGACACGTTATGTTACCCGGTGCAGTAGCCACAGCTGCGAGCATCTGGAACGATGCACATGGAAGCTCAGTAGACGGTACCCGGATGGGTTCCTGTGATTTGGCGTTCTCTTCCCATTGGAACACGACGGGAGTGAGGCACTAGCTATCGCTCTTGCTGTCGACCTGGGGCAACTGCCGTCTTCTGACAGCTTCGCTCCGATTTGAACGGTGAAAAGGCCGCTGCATCTCGCACCGCGCTCTGCTTGGGCTGTCTCTGATCACAGGGTTGCAGATTCTCGACCTTGGCCGCCTGCAGGTAGCAGGCTACTTTTTGAGCCTTTGCGCAGTGGACACCCCGCCGGTGACAGCCAGCACAGCGCCGGCCTCGATCTTGCAGAATTTGCCCCTGTTTCATGTTGTTTCATGTTGCTTCATGTTGTCTTCTGCCAAGCGCGCTCTTCAGGTCAGACGTCTGCATGGGCCGTCCTCAGGCCCAGAAATTGCTTGGCGCAGGTTGCAGAGGGGGCGGGGGGGGCGAGTTGCGCTCGGAGGCCTTCAAGATGTCTCCAAGCAGAATGGAGCTGGCGAGTCCGCCTCTTGTCCGAAGTTCAGATTACTCACATGAATCGTATCTAAAATGCCATACCGTTCCTCAAAACAATGAAGTAGAATACAGGTTCTCGACGTCTCTGAAGCCCTGAGAATGGGGCAGCGCACGCATTGCCGACAATATCCGCCCATGCCTGTAGTGGAGACTCCACAGCAAAAATACCCCAAGCCTCTCTGAAACAACAGCCTTAAAAACGTGGCGCAGCTGTTGTTGTCGTTGTTGTCCTGCATGGTATACAGAAGGGGATGCCACAGAAGATCACAACAAGTCTACTCGGAATGCTGAGAAGCCTTGGTTCAAGCGCTTGAGGTGCTATCTTGGCAAAGTGCAGGCTGCAAACATTGCAGACGAGCTCTTGCCGTAACGAGGTGGACTCATCAGTTTGCACGTGGAATCCGGATTTCGCAGCTTCTTTTCTTGGGAGTTTGCGCCTTCCCCTTTGTGAAGCTCAGGGCCAGACGAGTCAGCTCTGGCTACGCTCCAAGGAGAGAACTTCCTCCACAAGCCTTCACTGGCACCTCGCGCTCATTCGGTTCACGCTCTCCTTGTTTTTCTCCTTGCAATTTTTCGTAGTTTCTCTGCACACTCGCGTGCCATTCGTTACAGGACCTCCCCGAAGCTGCCGGTGTCCTCGTCGACGTCACGCGCTGAGCGCCGCCTCAGTAGAAGGTTCAGCACGTCGTGTTGCGGACGGTGACTCTGCAAGTCCACAGGCAGGATATGGAGTCGGGCCGGCCGACCTGGTGGAACGTCCAACGGTCATGGCAGGCAGCAGCCCATTCTGTTATGTCAGCTTTTTCGGTACGCCTTGACTCCGTGCAGGGCTGGAGGATGGTCAGGAGGAGGGTGCGGAGGGTGTCTGGGCACCAGCTGGTGACAGAAACCCTCCTACGCTCAAGGACTTGAAGCGCCTCGAGGCCGAATTTAGATGGCAAGATGCAACCCGACCGATTGCAGTGCAGATTGCAGTGTAGTGCAGCCACAGGCCTTTTCAGCTGTGCGTCTTCAGGCAGGGGTGTGGGTGTGGGTGTGGGTGTGTAGCTAGGCTTGAATGGGAGATCTTCAAAGCAGGTGCAGACGAGTTCCGGGTGCATGGTTTTTGCAGAGGTGCATCTGGTCCTTTCTCGATTGATGCCCTTGCCGATGATATCAAGCGTTGCTGCTGGATGTTGACAGGTTTCCTCAAGCCCTACGAGTGGAAGGGCCGAAGCCGCACGCCTGTCAATGCTGTGCGTGCCATGCTGTGCATGTGCTGTGCGCATGTTTATGACGCTCGCAGAAAGGCTTGACCCATCTTGACCTTGAATTCCCTTGCGAGGCCAGCAAGGCTGGAAAACGAGCCAGGGATCAGGGCAAGGATCCAACAATATCCAGAAGGCCAGCAAGTTGTGCAGTTCTATGACAAGCACTGCAAGGAGGAACCATGGGCGCCCATGGTAAGGCTCCAGGTTTCTTGGATGCACAAGTGACGGGTTAGCAAAGGACACAAGGAGGGCGAAGGCAAGGCAGTGAAGGATGCATGAGCATCAAGTATGAGCATCAAGTATGTCAAGTATGAGCATCATGAGCTCAGGCTCCACATCTCAGCCAGGCGGGCATCAGATGCCCATGGTCGCGCTGATTTCTTTTCTCCGGTCCGAGGAATCTGACCGCCGGTGGGCCAAAGTTGCCAACGCCAGCACGGTGACGAGCTCAGCAAGGTACAGGTTGCACCTTGTCCGGCCCCCTTTAGAATTGCACCCAGGAGCCTCTGCGCGCCTCAGCTGCACTGAGAAGTCACAGGTGCAGTGCAGCTCAGTCTTTAACTATCGTACGATGAGCTCGGTCGCAAGGAGGGCTGGAGGATCTAGGACTCAGGGAGAATGGACACCAAGAGCTGGTAGCCCATGTGCAGGAGGTCAATCGCCACGTTTCAATGCAGGTGCTGACAACTGCAAAGCGCGGCCCGTAGAGTCTGCTTCGTTCCCGACTGTCAGTGATTAGTAGCGCATCGTGTCGAAGTCTGTTTCAGGTGGTCCTAGAGTTGCTGGCCACAAGCCCGAGTGATCTTCGTGGCTATTGGGTTTTTGCAGCAGGAGATGTTCAACTCTACAACATGCCTCATGCACGTGTTGCTCCGTGCGCTTTACTCGTCTTTGCTCAGCCACAGGACTCTTTGCTTTGGTGGTGGCCCCGAGGCATGAGTCACAGCTATCCCAAAACAGAGGCAGCAACGCAATCGCCCCCCGATCGGCAGGGACTGTGTGGCATCGCGCTTCTGCATTTCAGACAAAGCGCTGGAATCACTTTGCGGCCACATCCCAAGATCCAAAGCTTGAAAAGGATCAGGTTTGTGCAAGTGTTCTTGCGGACACACCACCAGGCAAGACAGCGAAGGTGGAGCAAGAGTTTATTTGTGATGCAGTGGCAGGGAAGGCCAGACACCTCCCGGGCACTGACAGCAACTGAGAGCTTACGGGACGAACAGGTTGAGGAATCCGGCTCCCTCACGGTGCGCAGCTCTTGATGCGTCAGCCGATTGTCTCTTGCTTGTCTGCTTCTCCGCCATTCCCCCTCTGAGAGGTTCTGTACAGAGCCTGGGCTCCGGAGGCCTAGCAGGGCCAAGGCTTCTCAAGGCATCTTTTGCACAAATGTGACGACATGGGAGGCAGCGGGATCCTGCTTCTACGACCCGGCTACAGGAGCCGGCGGACGGATCGAGGCGGAAGCGGATTCTGGGAAGCGGATTCTTGGAGTTTCCATGAAGAAACAGAAGCTGCAGTGCTCCGATGTCTGCAGGTTTTTGAGGAGGACCAGCTGGTGGTTCATCGCCGCGAAGATGGAAGCGAGCTACGCTGGAAGATACTCAAGATGGTGCGCTGCCAGTCGCCACTCAAATGGCATCTGAATGTTCCTCAACCTTCCTGCAGGAAGTGAACCCTTTTCCAGCAGCAGGCCAACCATGCATGTTGAGATACTGCCCAGAGCCTGCTGGCTGGCAAGTCTCTTGCCAGGCGCCATGCAGGGTGAATATGAAGATCTTCCAGATGCAAAGCGGAACAGGCGTGTCTTAGCGCCGGCTCGGATTGAGCAATCTTAGGGCCTTCTTTTTCTGGGGAAGGGGGGGGAGGCTTCAACAACCACAACAATTACCACTTCGAACATCCCCACCCCGTCCCCCAAAAGCCCAACTGCAAGGATTTAAGGTTGCAGTGTCAGGGGACAAGATGAAGGTTGAGGGCAGCACGCCCGGATTGTCGATTTCATTTGCAGTGGAAGAGGATAAGGCATGGAGGTCAACGTTTCTTGGGATGTTGTGTTTTATGTTTGGCTGGGTCAAGGAAACTGAAAACTTGGTAAGTTCGGGAGGCGGCTCTTGCAATTGCGACTTTTCCAGCGAGAACTACATACATGCCTCAGCGGACAGAAAGTTCTTGAGCAGACCTGTGAGATGGCGCTTGTGCAGCCCGCCTGTCAGCGGGGCATAGCCCTTGAGCTTGGATGCACCTGGGTTAGACCTGAGATGCCAAGGAGGCTCTGGCGGGCAACTGTACCGGAAACAAGCAGGCTCATGCGGGCAATTGCACCGGACTATTTCTTTGGTGAAGAGGAGCTGAGCAGGCCAGGAAGGCTCAGGCGGGCAATTGCCTCAACATGCAGGCCAGGGACGGTCAGGTGAAATTTAAGAAGAAGACCAGGAAGGAAGGCTCAGGCAGGCAACTGAGCTCCGGCAAGCAACTGACCGAAACGTTGCCTGCATAGGCATAACAGTGGGGAGGGAGGCTCCGGCCAGGCTGGCGATTCTACCGGAATGCGCTTGACAATCACACCAGCTGTTGCAGACGGCGATAGTACGATTGGAATGTGATCGGGCCTGCATGAGGGAACACCTCCTAGGAGCTGGCATTCCTTATCCTGGCGCATTTTACGAAGGAGAAGTACCTGACAAATCCATCCAATAGCAGCCGGATTGGGGACAGTGCTCTCTCAGGAGTCTCCAGGGCTCCCCAAAATTACCAGGGCCCAACAGTCGTCCCCGGACCCTTAATCGCAATGGTGTGCCGAAAGGCATCCTAGTGGTTTGCTTCCCCTTCCAGTGGGCTCAAGAGAGCATGAGGAGGCAGGAATTGGAACTGGGTTTTGCAGCCGAGATACAGTGGAAAAATGTAAAAACACGGTTCTGTACCTGTTGAACATTTTCTAACCGTGCGAGGCAGCAGATGGAAGCCGGCAAGGCTGAGCAAAATGCGAGGCCCTCTGCTCACTTCGTCGGGATGGCGTATTGGGGCATGTCGTACGGATATGACGGTTGCGATGGTTTTGCTGAACACGTGAGAGCAAATGTGCTGAAGTCGCACAGCTGCCCAGCTGCTCAGCCGTGCGCTCACTTTGCGCTGTTTGGCTTGCAGGAGAAAAGACTTCAAGACCACCCGACCAACTGATCAGGACTCATCTCCCACGTTACTTGCGAACATTCGGTGGGCTAGGCAAGTGCAGGTTCTTCACGGGCTTCAGACAAATCAGTATTTCGGGCACGAGTACATCATGGGTGCATGTCCAAGTCTTGGTTTCAGGCCACGTAGCATGACCTATTCAGAAAAGGTCGGCTGAGAGGTTTTGCTGCTGGCAGGACACCTCGCATTCATCGCGATCGCGATCGAGACAGGTCGGCGAAGTTTGGCACACATACAACCTCTGACCGGCCCGGCGTCGCAGGAAGAAAAAGAGAAGCGTAAAGCCAAGGCAAAAAAGGAAAAACACGTTGACAAGGAGCAAGCAAAAGCGAGCAAAGCAAAGGAGAAAGACAAACAAAAGGACAAGGGGAGTACTCGGAGTACTCATGATCGGGAGTCCGTGATCGAGGAGCAGGCAAAAGAGCGCGAAAGGCAGCGCGTGCCCAGGCTGCAATTTGCAAATTTCCCAGCAGCTGGTGCGGTCATTAGGATGACATTGAATCTTGCCTGAATCCTGCACTTTGCAAGGCGAAGGATCGACGGGAGAGGCCCTTTGCAGAGGGGTTACGCACAATTTTTCGCAGCACAATCTTCACAGCTGTCACAGCAGTGAGACACTCAGTTCACTCAACGTGTGCAGCCGTGCCAGGATTGTATACTACTATGACAGGCTAGCTTTGGTGAGCCCTGTCCCTCGAATCACATGGTACCTTGCGTGTGGATGCGCATCATCTTGGCAGCGGGCAGACCGAGCATTGAGGAATTTAGTAGGTGCATTGGGGTCAGTCCAGACAGCTCGCAAGTCCATGAGGGACATCGACAAAGCTAGCAGTACCAACCACGTGGCCTCGGTGTGTCTTCAAGGTTTGATGCTGGGCTGTGTGAATCCAACTCCTATGTGCACTTCCCAACATAGTCTCACTTGTGCCCGTTGGCATGTCGCTTCGTGGTCGGGCCAGCTGTTGCTCCACGAACTCAGCCCGCCCCGCGTTGGAATTATCCGATGCTATCCATGCCCACTCCTTCCCTGCCATGTTCAGGTTGCGTGGTAGTCAAGAGTTTTGCGCGGCTTGTGCACGGATATGTGCCAACAAACTGTGGCTGCATGTAGCTTTGATGTACGAGCGGACATCGTGGGGACCCGAATGCAGACCCGAAGGCCAAAGGAGCCGCCCAACGACCGAGACCGGGACTGGGAGCGGCAACGAGCTCGAGAGAGACGCTTGGCGCGCCTCCGCTCTCCTCCGCTCTCCTCCGCTCTCCTCCGCTCTCCTCCGCTCTGTTTTTCCCTTTCTGGCGCATGTGTCGCAAGATCGCTCCTCGGAAGCACTACTCAGGACAGAAGGCGCGGGAACGAATGGACAGCGAAAGAGACAGGAGCCTCTCGGTGTGTGTTTCTGCTTGAGTTCGTCGCCGCGTTGTTGCTGTGCACAGATGCTGACAGGAGCAAGGAAAGAGACCGGGAGAAAGCAGCTCACCTGCAGGTTTCCAGTGGTTTCCAGTGGTTTCGAGTCCGTAACCTAGCAGGTGACGAGGATTGACTTCTCAACCTAGCCTGTGGCGCATGGCATTTGCAGCTGTGACCAAAGCACTGAGGAGCGGAAAGATCGAGATGGTCGAGATCGCAAAGAGAAGGGCAAGTCGCCAGAACCTTCACGGGTCTGAAGCTTAGCATCTCAGGTCAGGAGCGAGCAGTGCGACACCGTAAAATGTACGTCGTACATCTGGCACGCTTTCTGCCAGGAGCGTGAGAAGCCCAGGAGGCAGTTGGAGAGGTGGCCTTGTGAGCGATTTTTCGTGTTGTGCGACATCGCGCGCCTCCAACAAGGAGCCACGCGTTCGACAAGCAAGCTACTCCTTCGAACCCGAGTCTTGGATGGCATTGGTGACATCGGCGACTTCGGAACGAAGACACATCAAGAGACGAAGAGTGCCGTGGAAGCAGCCCTTGTGGCAAGCTTCAGGTCGATGCCTGGTGCTGGTCTGGGAGCCGCAGGGTGCTCCGAAATTTTCGAACTGCATCTGCCTCTGTCTCCCTGCAAAAAGTTGGTCAGGCAATCTGCGACTCTGCCCGCAAGCTCTGCGGCCCTACTGGCTGCTGTCTACCAGGCGCTTGTGTAAAAGCGCTGGTAAAGAGCTGTTTCGGCAAGGCATCAGCGGGCGGAATCTGCCGCGCCTTGCTCCACACTGTTATGCTGCGGTTCCCTGCAGGCCCGCCTGGAGCCGAGCCCACCAAATCCCGAGGTAGAGCACTTCCTGTCGCTCAACACGGCCCCTCAGAAGAAATCAGACAATGAAACCGGTTGGAATGCCAAGGCATCCGACTCAATTACATGTAACTCTTCTGTGTAGTAATCAATCCTGCGCGCCAACCTGCGCCAACCCCTAGGTTTGCCCACACCCAGGTTTGCGCATTGCCCGCATGTTGGCGCAGTGTTTCCGCTGTGACCTTGTGTGTAAGCGCCGCGAGCTTTTTGCTTTTTTCAACAAACAACCACCCTCTGCGGGCTTCACGCTTGCGTGCGCCGCCTCGGCAGCCGGGCCGGCCCAGTCAGCCCGGAGGCGAAGGTTTGAGGGGCTGACAGGGGTCCCACAGAGGGTCCAATGAGGTGTTCAGAGCAGGTTGTTGGCGGGGGTGTGTCACAGCTTCGGGGAAAAGTGACCGGATCCGGGTCTGCTTGTTCCAGACGCTTCTCGGCAGGAAGCCAAGGCGAATGTCAAGAAAACAACGCTATGCTTCAAAAACACGACCCTGTGCGGGGTATTGTGTCCTGCGCACGCTGCTCCTCGAAGATTTGGGAGCATCCTTTTCTTCACTCCCCAAATCTTCAAGGAGCGGCATGTGCAGGACACGAAAACCCGCACAGGGATGTGTTTTGGAATAATTCACGGCGATTACAAACATGGCCACAGCAGAAGCACCGCGCCTGCGCATGTTTTGCGTAACTTCGGACATATGGCACGGGGCCAGGGGTTGCACGGTAATCCTAGTAATCGCTGGTTTGCCACTCAGGTGGAGTCGCACGCCGCTGCGAAGCTCCGCTCACTTCCGCCACTGGTCCAACATGAAAAGGCACACTTCGTTGAGAGCTCCCTGGTTTGGACGAGGCCTTTGCACTGGCCGCACTGGCTTTTGATGTCCTTTGAGCCTCTGCTTGTTGAGAGAGAGAGAGGGAGACCTTGAGCCCCTACAGTTTGCTTTTGAAAGAGCCAACGGGGATTTCCAACCTGTTTCATCACGAGGGGATGTGGGGTGATGTCTAGATACCCCCGCCGGTCAACTCGCTTCCGAGCACCGGGGGCGCGCTCTGGCCGTAGCACAGGGGTTCGCCCGTATTCCCCAAGAAAGGAAGAAAGAAAAAAGAGAAGAAAGAACGAAGGCAAGAAAAAGAGAGGGAGAGGGAGGATGCAAACGACCAAGCGCCTTTTTGTCGGACGCTCGTCGAGCCAAGGCGTGCTTTGCAACGGTCGGTACTCGAGCGGGGCTCGCTGATGGGAGCACGTGATCCGTTCGCGCCTCTGCGATCTGCAGAGTCACTGCAAGCCATGGCTTACTTCAGTTCGGTATTTCAACATGTCACGGGGCTGTTGAATGCTGCAGATGTCTGGAGGTCCGCAGTGCTCATCTCTCGCGTCCGCCGGCACCCTGGACGTGTGGATTCAAGTCCGGAGTCGAGTTTCCAATGGCCGAGGTGATGCCATGATGTCGACAGCCCATACAATGCCATCGATGCCCATCGTGACCATGACGTTGCCGAATGGACAGCAGGTTTCGAAGCTGGGAGTTTGGGAAGGGGGAGCAGTTGACTCGCGCGAGATTTCCGGGGGCATTGACAGAGGTGCACCCCGGCGTGGAGGCGCTGATCCTGCGCTACGGCCTAGATGCACAGTGCGCGCAGCAACTGCGCCAGCTGCCTCTGCAGCTTCAGGCCGCGTCATGGCCCGTTGCCTTGAGCCCTGGGCTCTTGGATGGTTGATATGGGGCCAAATCATGCCGGTCCTTGAAGAAAGATGAAGAGCCCTCAATCCACTACTGCCAGCACTTTCTCGCGCCTTCCCGGCTTGCTTCAATGCTCCTGGCTTGTGACAACTCTCTACCCCGTGCTCTGGCATTGTCTTGTAAAGCCTACCCGACCTACACCGAACAAAACGAACAACCGTGTTACGAATGTTAAACGCAGAATTACGGGCTAGAGGATGCGCTTTTGTGGAATAAGTCCGCCCTCCTCGCCTAGTGAGGCAGTTGTGTAACCGACATGAAAGAAAGGGCGCTTAGTTCGAAAAAGAGCCTTAACAGGAGGTCACTCAACATGAGTGGCATCTTTTTCTGAACTCATCACGATTTACATTGTTTCGTGTCATGCATGGGCCACAAAGGAGCCTGGGTGGGAAGCCCAGAAGTTCAAAAACCTTAGCAAGGAGTGTTGTCGAAACGGAAGAACGTTATGTGGAGGATGTCTTGCGGGATCCGCCGCGACCGAGATATCTGCCGACAATCAATGTCCATAGGCTAGCACGTGATCTGCTTTCTGCGTGCGGCAGGCTGTGGCAGCCGAGTTACCAGTTCACGAGGCACGGAATCCATCCGCCTTCGTCATGGCCACTCGGTGAGCAGCTGGCACGGGTAGTGAATCATACCCTAAGATCGACCAGGGGTGCCATGCACCAAGAACCTAAATCATGGTATGTTGAAACTTGGTATCCTTTCTTCAGCACCTCCTTAGCTTGTGGAACGACTATGAACGAATTAAAGCACGCAGGCGTACAGACCAGATACACGATACACCCATCGCGGGGCTTCATAATTTGGCATCAGCGACTCTTGTAATTGGATCCCATGATCGGCAATGTGTTTTGCTACTCCTTCGAAATTACAAATACTGAAAATGGGACGTGCTAGCCTCATGCGGTAGCTGCCTCAATCAGGAAGGTCCCATTCTGTCATGGTGAGGCCCAACTACAGCTGCCACGATTTAAGCAAGCCGCCAAAGCAGCGATGCAAGCGGGGCCACAGACCCAGAGTGTTCTTCTCCCTCGCCTTGGCTTCTCTGAAGCTCTGCAACACGTTGTAGCTCTCTTGCCTTGGAGGCTCTGAGCTGTTCGCAGCCGACATGGACAAAGCCTTTCAAAGCGCGTCGCCAAAACAGACATCGTCTGGAGTTCCTCTGCATTGCACGACAGATGCTTTATTTTTCCATGTCATGTCGCAGTCACAGAGATTCCTGCTGCCTCGGGCTCAAACCACTAAACCTTGGATACCATCTTCGCAGTCAAGGATCGGCCGATGCGTTGCTTGTGTTCAAAGCTGCCATGCAGGCTTTTTGATGCCTTCTTCTTCTTCTGCTTGTTACTGTTGCTGGCAGGCTCGGATGGTCACGATGGAGAGCCAACCGCTTACAGGCAGGGCGATTGACAGGTGCTCCTCTGACTCCCCAGAGATGTGATTCCCCCTGTGCAGCTCGGCGATTGAGCTGGGCTGACCAGAATGCGGCGCCATTGGCCTCTACCATACCACAGGACATCGTTTCATGTTGCAAAGCCTTTTCGGGCCGGGGTTCTGCAGCTCCTGTGGCCACGCTGCCATGGTTTGCTCTGGGCTCAGGCGCCGGAGCCCCCACCCCTGGCTCCTACTGACGATGACGACGACGACGAAGATGACAGGCGAGGCTGCCAAGATCTGCCCTTAGGAAGCGATCTTGAATTCTTGATCACTGACGTGCTGGAAGGCCTGGTGTCAGGACCCTTGAAATGGGCGTCCTGCTGCAGGGGCCTGGCCCTCTTGGACCGCTTCGCAAGGATTCCGCCAGAGCTTCCGACGGTCCGACAGAGCTTCTGCTGGATTTCTTTGCCCTCTAAGGTATGCTTACAGGTCATCTGTAGAGCTCCCCTCCAATGGCCAACTCGTTGAGGCACCCAAATGTTGGCAAGTGATAGTTGACTCACATGACGTGATTGCTTCCCGTGCATTGCCCGTGCATCGCATGCGAGGTTGTTGGACCCTTGCCAGAGGGAATCGACATTTTGGTCCTGATCTCAAGAAGATTCGCATCTTGTGGCGGCTGTAGGCTCCGGGGCTCTCTGGGCCGAGTTTCTGGCATATTAGGTCAAAGATGAAGGCAGCCCTGAACATCCTGCGGCGCTGTGGTGGGGCCGGCAAGAGATTGAAGGGTTTGAAGCGATCAGCAAACCAAACTGAAGCTTCCGAGGCTCTGTCGTAGCTGCGTAGCTCCAGCAGCCCCTTTGCAGCGCTACGTTGCGTCTTCCATGCCAGGATAGAGGCAGAGCTGAAAGATCTCGGGGTCTTCTACCATGGTGCGCCAACTATAGTCACTATAGTCCAACACCCTGCATCTGATGAGACCCTGGACATGTTGGCACTGGAGGCCTTCTTGTCAGAATTGCGGGTGGCGAGTTCGCGGAAGTAGTGGTCAATCTGAAGGCATGGATGGATGGGTTGGGATGGGAATTGGGATGGGTTCGGCGGGCTTTGGCTGGTGATTGGTCCTGGTTGCAGCCTGCAAGGCCTGCGTCATGGGCCCCAGAGAAGGGCGGCTGTCGAGGCCGATGTACGATGAAGGTATGATGTCCCACAAGGTCATTGAAGCACAATGGCACAGCATGTATGATAATGTGCTGGCACTGCGTGTTCATGCCAGGGTGCACCACAATGTCGAGCTCATAAGAGCCCTGGCGCCTGAGGCCATCGTGCTTTGCCCGAAGGTTTGACGAAGCATCACGTGTAACCAGTCATTACCATGTGGTCCGTCTCCCCGTGGTTTAGCGGTTTTGCTGTTTAGTTCTTTCTTTGTTTCTTCTGGGGATTATGAACTCTTCCGAAGCCATTTCAAGTCATGAACATCATCGGGCAGCCTGCCTCAGCTCAAGTATCCACACCATCCTCGAATTCTCTAGGCTGTACCTGCTTGTGCAGTCGACTGTTGTGGCTGGATGCCTCCATGTGGCTTGCCGTGCTCAGCTCGACTGCGACCGTGGTCAGCATTCCTGGCTTGGGCAACGCTTTCTTTCCATCTGCCAGGGCCGTTTGCCAAGCCGTTTGCTGCCTGGCCACGGTGGCACACCCGTGTGAGGCACGTTGCAAAAAATGCGAGATTAGGAGAAGAGGTGTCAAAGCGGCAGGCATTGCATCAGCGCATTACCGTGTGCTGGCATGATTTCCTGCATCGACTCAGCGACGGAGAAATTGATTCAGTTTTTGTGCTTTGTGGGGCCACTGCTGGAAACCTGGGAGCAATCCTTCGATCGTGCACTTTGCTGGGCGTGTCTGCAGTCTGTATATTGGGTGGACCTTCGCGTGCTTCATTGGACAAAGCCTTCCGATTTTCAATGATTGAACAGAAGAGCCACTGGCAAGTCTTAGTGGTGCCAGTTCCGTCACATGTGAATGCTGCCTGTGCAATGCGGGAGCTGAAGCGTGCAGGGGTCAGGCTGGTCGGGCTGGTAGCCAAGGATGGAACCGATCATCCGACATCGGATTTGTGGGATGTGGACCTGGCACGAGACCGGCTAGGATTTGTGTTTGGCTCCGACAATGAAGATGGTCAGGCATTCGCTGAAGGAGTTGAGTGCAGCCTCGATACCCTGGCCTCTGTTCCCCTGCAGCAGTTTTTACCCTTGCAGCCAATCGAGCTCAGCAGTCTTGAGCCATTTTGCGCAGACACATTGAACCTATCAGTGACGGCTTCCATTGTTGCTTACGAGCGACGGCGCCAGCTGCGCACCTGGTGGGCGAAGCTTCGAGCGTGGACCAGAAAGCGTTGGAGTCCAGGGAAAGAGCATGGAAGACGGGAGCTTAGTCCACAAGAGAACTTCCTTTATCAGCCTGTTGCTGTAGTTGTGATGTGCGATATCAACGCAGCCCCCTATACCTCGTGCGCACAGAAGACAGTTGTCCACTTTCATGAGCAGGTCGCAAAATTTATTGTACCCTTGCAACAACACCGCGAAAGGACCCTAGGCCCACAAGGCCCACAAGGCCCATAACCACAAGGCCCTGAACCGGACATGACATCCAAGAGTGTCTTGTGCAGCAGCGTTGCAGGACATCCATGGCAGCACAGAAGGCAGTGTCTTCAGAAAAGCTGCGCAGTTGATGGTCGCATCCTGAGTTGTCTGATCAAAGGCTGCCTTGGCAGCGTGTCTTGCTGCAACTTGCAGGAGGCAGACGATGAAGACGATGGCTAAGGCGCATAAACACGATGAGATGGTGGTTGAGTTCTTGAGTTCGGCTAGCCAACTTGAGACGATGTAAAGCAGAGCTAAGAGCGCCTGAGCCGAAGCACAGACAGTTGGATTACTCAAAGCATGGGCTGAAAAAAACCTCCCAAAGAAGCCTCGTCATCTCCTTCGCAGGAGCAGTGGAGTCGCTCTCTTTGCCCTGCACGAATGATCTGGATCGTTTTGATCACCTGCGCAACAGAATCATGGGGGCCACATGGGCCACAAGAGATACGCAGTTAACTCAAAGCTGCTCATGATTCCTTGGTGGGTGAACTGCTTCGGATGCTTTTGTGTCACACCATTATATTTGGCCAGAAGAAGCGCGACGCAGCTGTTCCGTCCCCAAAACGCTCGCGCCGCACGATACAACGATGCTGCTTAGTGCACGCATCGGTCTCACCTTCAGTTTCTATAGGGTATTGCTGGTCAAACCGGCGTACACGGCTGATATCTGTTTGCATCAGGGTTCCGCATTAAGCATCTACAGAGATTTACAGTGTTTGGCAGGCAGCCGTCTTTCAGTAGGATGCCTTGTCATCGCCCTTACATGCCATTGTGCAGGGCTGGGCCTGACGTGTACAAAAGATGTGCAAAACATTCCTAGAACATTCGTGTTTTGTGGGCAAATACTCTTCAAGCACGACATTACCGGCACCAGCGCCCTGAAGTTGCGGGTGGCAAGCAAGGGTGCTTCAAGGCGTTGCGTGTTACTGTGCCAGCTCTCACCCTGAGCCAAGCTAAGTGCTCAGGGTCTCCGAGCGTATACAAATTACAACATGGATATCCGGCTTTCTTTAGGAGGATAGGCATCGCCATAAGCAGAGGGAACTTGACATGTTGTCTTGCATGAAGCTACATCAACTCAGAAGCATCCCATCGTGCACCAGGCCGACCTTAGCCACAGTAGTCATAGTGGGTAAGACCTCAACGCACATTCAAAGCTTCAGCAACCAGCCCCTGACTGGGCGTTCCGGTGCAAGGACAAAAGGATGAGAAAAGGCTGCGAGTTGAAACCGTGAACTCAGGGAACTCAGGGAACTCAGGGAACTCAGTGAGCTTTCAAGATCGTTTGCCCAAGCTTGGGTCAAAGGCCGGGTTCGCGACAAGCGGCAACCGAACACAGCGAGAATTTGTCACCTTAGCCACAGTAGAGCCGCAGTCAGCATAGGCAGTACATGGATGTATTGGGTGTGGACAGTCGTCCTTCAGGTGGCCTCGCAGCATCCATGATCCCACAAGTCCCACAACCCTACAAAGCCTACAGAGAGCTACAGAGCTTTGCCAAGAGCAAGTTGCGGCTCTCGCGGCCTTTGATGGGTGCACCGCATCTGCCGGAGCACTGGCCATGGCTGCGGCGCTTCCGGCTGACATTTGCGCAACGCAAAAGTTGAATGCAAAGTTGAGTTGAGCAGTTGAGCTTTTTGAGCCGTTGAGCCGATGCCGCAAAACTCTGGCAGAGGTAGCTCCCTTGCGGTCGCTGACGCCGCAAGCGCAGGCCAGATGGCGCAGAAGCTGCGAGAGAGAGAGCGCCTAATCAGGGCCTAATATGCTTTGGAGGAACTCCTACAGCTTTCATGGCTTTCATGTCCTGCCACACCTCTTTTGTTCACATTTCTCACTCTGGCACCAGGTCTTGGGCCAAGGCAGGGGAGTTCGAGGTGAGTCAGTTCTAGGTTGAAGGCTTCTGCAGGAGCAGGTGAGAATCAACAGCTGTAATCAGTGCTCAAAGCTTATCACGAGTTTCACTAAGAGGCAAGGAGGACCCCAACTATTTCAGCACATGGGGGCTTGATCGAAAGTCTAAATGTCCTTAGAACATTATCTAGTTCCTAGGGTTATTTGGGGAACAGGTATTCTGATCAACTACCACATACGTATGCGCACTTCAATTCCTGCGGCTTTTGCAGAAGGTGAGTGTAGGAGGGGAGCAAACGGTGCTGTCATTGGGTGAGGTTTGTTTTCTGCCGGCCGGCCACAACTCTCAAAGTAGCATCACCTGCATATCCCTGACTCGTGTTCGGAACGTTTCAGAACTTTCGCGCCGCCCGAACAAGCTACGATCCACTGCAGGCTTGCTCGGCTACACAGGCTCGCTGCCGGTGAGGCGGCCAGGCCGGATCGCATCCCATGGCTTGCAATGGCTTGCACGATCCTATCTGATCGTACAAGTTTTGTGTGAGCTCACGTCGGTGTTGCTTCTCAGTGCAGGCTCGGTTTCATCGGGAAGTACGACTCCGCAACATGCGATGTACCCGGGTGCCGTGAGGACACGGCGACTGCGGCGACTGACGTGAGGCCCTGGCAGACACAGAAGTTGCAAGCGTCTTTCCTGCGCAGGATTCTGCCACCCTCTGGTGCAAGTACTCCAGCCCAGCCTAGCAGCATGGCATGTCCAGCGCAGTCAGAAGTCTGTCCAAGCTGTGGATGGGACTGAGCCTCAGACACGAAGCGCATTCCGAGCCAGCGCCTATGGGAGCATGCTCAGGTCTACATGCCTGATGCGATTTTCTGCCGACACTGTGGCCAGAAGCGTGAGGTGTTCCAGGCGGGACATCCGCGCAATGCCCGCTCTGCACTGACGATCACTGACGATCACTTGGACGTGCACGGCGCGATCGACTCCAGGCTGAAGCAAGCCCTTGCATGGGTGTGGGCCTCGCATGGCCTCTTGATGGCCTCTTGATGGCCTCCCGTTGCAAGCCCATGGAAGCCCTGTACTCCTGTACTGTGTTTCTTGTGTTTCTTGATCCTTCATTTGCTTCTCAGTTGTGTTTGAAAAAGCAGGTGGCAGTCCCATGCCCGAGGCGAGGAAGCTTAGTCACCGGAGAACGCTGTAGGTTTTGGCCTTCCAGTTTCAGTGTCGAGTGTAGCGAGTGGGAGCATCTTTGTGGGGAGTGGGTGCTTGGGCCCATGGGCTTGTTGGGGACGAGTGTTGTGCACTGTTCTCTGCGTAGTTTGTGAAGGCTTGTAACAACAACTCATGCAAAGCTATTTGTCACCCCTCTACACCTTCGACCATTGTGGTCAGCAACTTTCGGACAGCTTTGTGATAAGTTGTCGGGAATGCTTCTACCCAAAGTCCGCAATCACAAGCCACGCAACCACTCATAAATCATTCAACGTCCACTCAATTGCCCCTCATGCAATGCGCACGCAGCAGTCCGGAAAGCCTGCCCAGCGGTGGGTAACCCTGCACAACTTTTTGGGCCTGCAGGGTGAGCCACCAGCAACTTATGAAAAATAAGAGCACCGAAATTATCCACGACTCCCATGCTTCATCATGCAAGCCCTTGTGTCTCATCTTCATGCCTTGACCCATCTGCCTTTAAGTTGTCATGGAAGTCCTGAAGCTTCAGAAGGTGACCGTACAAGACTGGATCCCACATTGGGAGTGAGTGGACGCTGAAAAGGTGAAGGTCGTAACCAAGGACTGTACTTTATGGAAGAAAAGGTACTATGTCTGTTGCGAAAGCAACGTGGCCCCTGCGCAAGGCTCACACATACTGCAGTGCATCTTTGAGAAAACCGCATGAACCAATGTGTGTGGGTGTGTGTGCGGGTGGGTGCGTATAGGGGTCTTCAGGATGGGGGTTTGGGCTTGCTTGCATGTTAGTGCCACGCCTGCGATGGACTGAAGCAATCTAGACGATCAACCCATTCACTTTCGTCAGAGTCCTGCTCTTAGTCACTTTTCTCGTGTAGCGAACACCCCATCTCCTGAAACCAAGCGAACCTCTAATGTCCAACAATGTTCCACAAACTGAAGATCTAGAAAAGCAGACGTCAACTCAGACGATGAGAACATGAGCAAAGGGTGTCCCATTTCAGTCACGAGACGGACCCGAAAACGCCTCGTCAACACTATCCACTGACCCACAGGAAGACATGTAGCGTCGAAAGATTTCAATGCTACAGCCATGCAAGATGTCCCAGTTTGCTTTTCGGTTTCTTCCCGTTTGCGGTTTCGTCTTCACCACACGCCCTTCACCTTCAGAAGGCGGCTGCATTCTCAGGCCAGAACCCAATCAGGGAATGCCTCACTATAGTCACAGGGCCTTGAAGCCCCAAAAGGGAGTGAACTCTGAATAACCACGGGGCCTGTGTCCAACGGCTATACAAATATGGGGAGGGTGTGTGTTCCCACGTAGTCTCATTTACTTTCGACTTCAGCTGAATCCCATAAGATTTGAAAAATGATGGTTGTAGCCGAAGGCCTGACCAGTCCGTCAGCTCCCAGTGGCTTGAAGTCTGCAGGGAAACCTGCGCTGTATTTCGAAGGTGAGAGCACCTCCAACATTGGACTCCCAAAATGAACCGTTCTCGCAGATGAAGAATTGCTGTGTCCAAAGACAGGCTTCGAGGCGACGCTAGTGGACTCTCATGTGAGGTCGTTCCTGTCGACTTGGAGTCCTCAGGAAAAGTCCCCCGAAACTGCTCGACACAAGAAGACCTTCGCAAACCGAGTATGGGACGCCCGTTTACAGAAGGGCTCGAGCCGGGGTATTCTCAAACTTGGAGGTGTATGGGGATGGCTTCGTTTATGGCTCGGGTGGGGGCCCCATCCGCTTTCGCACTACCATGGTGTCGTGAGTCCTGCGTGTGGCGAGACACCAGGTGCGACAAGCCCCTTTCCTGCCAGAGCCTCTGTGCTCTTCTTCAAAGCACTTCGATTGAGTTGGTGCCTGCAAGGCCTATTCATCTGCCGAGCCACTCCCAGTTTATGCCTCCGCATCAGGTCGGAGAGAAGTTTCTTTGTGAATGGCGTTCCGCAAGCCCTTGCGGCCTTCGCGCGAGGCACCGCGAGCCCGCTTCCAGCTGCCCGGAGCTCTAGTTGAGGCTGCTGGCAGTTCGTGGATTCGTGGTCTTTCTCGCGTGCAAAAGCTGCTCTGGGACGTCTGAGGCCTACGCGAGTGAGGCTGTGGCAGCGTACGGTGCGTCAGGTGTTGCTCTCAGATCCCGAGCCG